GTACCAGCCGATGTCGCTCCAACATGAATACCTACCTATTAGGGGGTGCGACCGGGGTAGTTATTGGAAATTTGAACGTCCTCCAGGAGTTTGGAACTTCATCCTGGATTGAGACCAACGGGGTATACTGCCCTCTGAGCAGATCGATTACTGGACGTTTTGCACGGCAGATGACGGTGCCCCTACTAGGTTCATTACTATTTGCCTTTGATCGCCAAACCTCATCAAAGCCAGCGAAGGTATGATAAATTGCAGATGTCTCGAGGCGCGGGTTAACTCTCCGCTTGCCAAACTCTCACTGCATTTTGCATTTAATCTGCTCAGGTATGAATTTAGCCCATTTCTGCAGCCTGAGCGAAGTTGGGCTCAGATGGTGCGAGTCTCCCGGAGCAGACGAAGCTCTGTCTAGTCCACGTCAGGTGGTGGTGTTCTCAAAACGACATTCACATGTCGAACGTCGGTGTAAGTTGAGACCGACTCCCTATCGTCGTTTATGGCATGTCGGTATACTGTCTGGTCAAGAGGTTGTTTTATGAACCTGTCAAATCGTAGAGATGCCTTCTGACGTGCCCAGGCGAGGGCTTTTCTGCAAGCAGGTGTCTGTTCAGGTGCCACACTATAAGGAATTGCTTACAGAGCATTGTGTTATGCTCCCCGAACGTGAGCATTTCAGCCTCGTGATAAATATGGTGTTGTGGCTACACCATAACGCACCCGGTGGCTGTACGGAGTGCCGTGTTTTGGCAGATTTGTGATTCCGCACTACTCATCCCCTGCAACCACTCGAGAGCTGCATAATTTAGATCCGGTCGGCGAATCGCCTTGTCTCTCCGAGAATTTTTGAGTTATTCACTGTCGGAATTGGTTCGCCACCGACGCGAATTACCAGCTGTAGTCTCACCTCCTACATCCAGATGGTAAAAAGGGTTGCCGAGGATTTTGTAGATTTTTTCTATCACTCAGATATTTAGTTGACCACCGTTTGAGTCCCTGTGGTAGAGAGGTAGCTTCCAACGCTACCAGGACAGTACTCCCATAGGGGTGGTTTCGGTTCAGCCCACGAGCTATTTAAGTTTTTATGGCGTTAAGTGTTGTGCTGTGTACTTTACGGAACCCATACTGATGTTTTGCTGGGGTCAGGATGGTTCCCCGCTACCGGGGAAAGGAATGTTATCGGACGATGAGTTTGATGAAATTGGACTACTCTCCCTTTATTCCAGATGTCCGAAATGATGATAGTGCAGGTTGAGGGCCTTGGTGAGATAATCTACTCGCGCAGCTCATATTTATTCAACACTAGCATGCATATTTCGTCGAGTCCTATGGTTTTGGAGATTTTCGCTCCCATGGCTACCTGAACCTCACCACTGGTGGAAGAAAGAGGCGCACTGGGTGTTGGCAGTTTGGGCAGCCTTCTAGTCACTAGACTTTGGCTTTGTCAACCGTAGATACACCGTGAACTCTCGGCAAAAGTAGATCGCGGATCACGCCGGATGACGAAGCGGGTTCACGGAAAGAGATTTTAGCTCTGTTGTCGCGCTTTTTCGGGTTGGACAGTGACCTCACGGTTGACCAAAGTTTACTCACACCAGATGCTCCGCTCTTCCGAATCTCGTCGTTAAGATCACTTATGCGGGGATTTCCAAGATCGGCCCGACATAGGTTGTCACGCTCATCAGCAAGGCAGTGATGCCTCTGCGGAACTTATGCTCAACTGCGTGAACGTCTGTTGGTGTGGGAAGGGCAGAGAAAGTGCTCTCAGTATCTTCCGCGAAGCCGTCCCAATCAGCTTTGCTAAAGTTGGTGTAGGTGCAGTGATCTGTGGGAGCAAAATAAGCAGGTTTATCGATGGAGATTACCATGAGAATGTCAACATCGCCTGACTGTATAGTAATTCCTGGCATTCTAGGATGGTATCTCTGCGGTCGATGTTTTCTTCTGATAAAACGATACCGCACGGTGGTGCGTGATGAACGCTAAGCGATCTCGATGGTGCACATTTTATCCGGGGCAATTCAACAGTGTAGTGGTAAGCAGTGCGCGCTTCCACTCCGCAGCACCAGGGTTCAAACCCTGGTCAAAGGAATATCGCAAAAATATAGAAAAAAAAGGTTTTTTCTTAGCAGCGGTCGTCCCTCGGCAGGCAATGGCAAACCTCCGAGTGTTTTTTTTGCCATGAAAAACAGCTTCTCATAAAAATACAATCGCCATTCGGAGTCGGCGTAAAACTGTAGGTCCCTCCGCTTTGTGTTCAAGGCGCACGCCACAAATCGGAGGAGAAGCTCGGCCAAACAATAGCGTATGTGTAAGCGCCAATCTATTATTATTATTATTCAACAGTGTTGGTAGCCGTGCAGCTTCGTCTCTGGGACCACAGCTATAAATATTCAATGATTTCATGGCGACCCATGCAGACGGTTATCTCCGCAATTTGCTTTGGAAGACTGACTGCAATGTGGAGTGTAAGAGACTTGTGGTGTTGCCTCGAGCCATTTGTTGTGTTTGGTGTGTACGATGCTGCCTTGTGGTGGTAGTGGGCGGCGTCGCATAAGGCAGTACAAGGGCCCACGTAGTTGCTCGTCCAATTTCGCGTGGTGCGCAGTCCTGAACATACCCTAGAGTGGCACCAGCCAAGGCAGGAATTGCTTTTGACGGATGTCACGTTACCGTATACCCGGTATTGCGGACCAGTTCTGAGCGTTCCCACGACAGTCGGGTCTACGTAACCGGAACGACCCAGATTTATATCTGGCCAAGGACTGTCACTCCAGCAACACTCCCCAAAATCTCTTTGGGGAATTTGTATGCTGTTACAACAACAACAACCAATTCTGAGACCTGAGCATGTTCGGAGGTCACTCCACCCGTTGCAGGGCTTGCACCTGACTGAGGTGGTGTTCGGATGTAATCGTCTTGCATACACAGCAGGTGTAGGTTTCTGGGCCAAGGTTTGACACGATGACAGCCATGAGCAGAAGAATTTGAAGCATATGTTAAACCATGTACGACCAACGTTTAAGAATTGTCGGCAACCTAAATCGGGTTAGATCGCCGATCAGGTAAAACCCGAGTCATTCTGGTACCTAGAACCGGCTGTCGTCGTGGGAAAGCCAGTGGTTGTTGTTGGGTTACTCAACCCCGCTCGCATCGGCTTGTCAACCAACGCTGTCGTCAGGCTCAGCTAAACGGAGGCCCACGAAGTGTGCAACGTCCACTGGGTCTGCCCATAGAGACCGGGCGTTAGCCGGGAGGGGTTTTAGGGGCATGCGAAGAGGTGCCGTGGGTCATGTGGCGACTCTCCGGATGCCGGCACTCATTGCAGTCTGCTGCAGTAGCCTGAGCGAAGTTGGACTATTGTGGTGAGAATTTCCCGAGGCAGATGGTTGCGTACCCAAAACGGCATTCACAGATCGGTAGGGAGTCGATGTAAGTCAAGACCGACTCCCTGTGAATGCCGTTAGGGCAGACACTGCCTGAGATATTACCCCAAATTTTCTGCATAATTTAAACTGTTAATTTAAATAATCTTAGATCTCAACTCACTATAAACTTTAACCCCATTTACTTATTTTTAAATGCTCCACAGGTTCTGTATGCAAGTCGCACATTTAAAAATATGTATTTCGTATTCAATATGAGCTTTAATAGGTATTTTAAAAACCATTTTTCATACAAACATAAAAATAGAAAAAATCTTACAATATTTACAAAATATTTGCTTTTTTTTTGTTGCTGGCTAATTAGTTAATATTATGATTTGTTGATTTTTTCTCGCCGATTTTCAATATGTTATATGCTTTATACTGTAGAGTTATAGTGTTGTGTTTAAATTTTTTAGATATATTTGCAATGGGTTTTTTCGTTCGTTTTCAAGGGACTATTGCTGTGCTGTGGATGTCTGCTTGGTGCGTGTGTTTTCGTGTAAGTTTAAGTGTAGATAATGTTGGTATTTATTATTGAGTTGCGTAGTTCTTGTCGAAAATGCTTATAAATAATATACAAATACAGTACGGCAATGGTAATGGTAAAAAGCGCTACGTAGTAGTACATACACACATATAAACTGCTCCTTACAACTTCTAATGCGATCATTAATTAAGTTTATAAATAATTAAGATTTAATTAAAATCAGCGTGTAATAATAATAAAGAGGAAATAGGCTTATGAAGGGTATAATGAAGATGTGTTGTAAGATGCTACTTGTGGGGTTTTCGGCGGTAGATGACGATGAGGAAATGTTAACAGTTTATAAAAAAAAAATGTGAACATCAATAGCAGCATTGCGACTCAAGCGATCATTTTAAAAAATGTAAATGTTATTACCGGTAATGGTGGTATGAGCTTAGCAAAAAAAAAAAAATACAATACTACCTTGCATAAAGGAGTGGATGCGATATTCACCCACACACACANTGTGAACATCAATAGCAGCATTGCGACTCAAGCGACCATTTTAAAAAATGTAAATGTTATTACCGGTAATGGTGGTATGAACTTAGCAAAAAAAAAAATACAATACTACCTTGCATAAAGGAGTGGATGCGATATTCACCCACACACACACACACGCACAGAAATAGAGTGGTTACAATTAATTAATTGGGCGTTAGTCAAACTCAAGGTTGAAGCAAATTAGTTTACCAATGTAGAAAAGGAAGTTACACATATGTACATACAAAAACTATGGCATAATTTAATTTTCCCTAACCTATGAGTAATAAAAAGCACTTGAACAGATGAGCATATTCAGCACTTGACCATATAATTTTTGTTTTCGAGCTGGCAGTGGATTATAATAGAAAAGGAAATAAATGTAAATTGTAAAGAAATGCAGGCAGCCAAATTAAAGCTTTTTGATAAATACTTTTAGTCGCAGTAGTTTTGAAATGCACAGAAACAACAGCGCGGGGATTAAAGCTGAAGTACATTGGTCATAGAAAAATGAGACCAAGTCTAGAATACCAACAGTTTAGTTATGAAAAAAAAAAAAAACNTACATTGGTCATAGAAAAATGAGACCAAGTCTAGAACACCAACAGTTTAGTTATGAAAAAAAAACTAAAAAAGGCTCGATAGGGCCTTTTACTTTAGTTTTCTTTAGCAGCTAAATAGCTTTTATTCTAGACTAATACCGAAATAAGTACCTATGAGTTTTTTTCGAGGCAAATAAGCTGTGTTAAGATTTCATGCATGAATTTCTCATTTCTATTTCCAACCATATTTTGAATGTGTTAAGAACGCTTGTGCGTGTGTATGAGTTGTTCGCTGTTCGGGCTGTAAGGGTGCAAAGCGGGTTTAGAACATTATACAAGTGTATGAATACTATACACCTAACACAGAATGGGGTAAAGGGACGGTGCGTTGCCGCTGATATAATCTACATAGTATTGTAAGCGGCTGCATTGAAGCTCTGTTTTGGTAACGTTAGCCTACTGAGTGGATGCGTGCGACCGTGTTGTTGCAAACGACGCTGTTGATGCTGCTGTTGTTGGTTTTGCGCATTGTCTGCCATTGACGTTTGGGCTGCGCTGCCATGCGATATCATTGTGGATTTAGCTGGAGCAGGGGGCGGCCTACTATCACTATATTCGTGAGATAACCGAACACTAGTGGCAGAGCTTCTGCCACCACCTATCAGCGTGCTTTTGTGCAACGCACGACCACCACTTTCATAGTACGAATGTCGCCTGGGTTTACAGTGGCTTGTAGCTAGAGCAACCGTTGCAACTGTTGTTGGTACTGAAGATGAAGAAGATGCCGAAGCGGATGGCGCCGTGGTATATGATGAAGATATGGGTATGGCGCCAACGACACTGTCATTTTTGGTTACAGACGATACCGATATTGGCGTTTGATATTTATACACCAGAACCTTCACGTTACGGTCAACATATGGCTCGCACATACTCGATGAAGACGAAGTGGATGACGACGAAGACGATGATGCAGATGAAGCCGTTGTCGATGAAACAGAGGCGGTAGTAGATATAGTCTGCATTGTATGGGTCGTAGCTGTAGTAGTAGTGGCTGCATGTGCAATTGTGTCAATTATTTCAGCAGGGATCTCATCGTGGCAACCAGAGGATGCTGCTAAACTTTGTGTTGCAGAGGTTGTGTCTGAAATAGGTGACGCCAAAGAAGCGCTTTGCAGATTGTNTTGTAGTAGTAGTGGCTGCATGTGCAATTGTGTCAATTATTTCAGCAGGGATCTCATCGTGGCAACCAGAGGATGCTGCTAAACTTTGTGTTGTAGAGGTTGTGTCTGAAATAGGTGACGCCAAAGAAGCGCTTTGCAGATTGTGTTGGTGGTGATGATGTGGATCTATATGTTGCGCAACTGGGGAAGAAGGCAGTGAATGATGACCTTTCTTCGCAGGCGTGGCGGCAGTTTGAATTTGCAAAACATTTCCACTACTGCCTGTTGCTGCATTTGCGCTACTGCCTGCTTTGGCCTCAAAATTCTTTTTGAGTATTTGCACAGTGCCGGAGATCCGTTGATCCGTGATGGTAGTAGCGCCGCCGACGCTACCACGCAACAGCACTGAACCATCCTCTTCTATAACGCAGCCACCAACTATATTTTCGGATGTCTCTGGTTCTGAAGGTACCATATTCTTGTTCTCAATGTCTGAAACTGTATATGATTCTGGAGCTGAGGAAGCGGAAAAAAATTCATTTTGCAATGGACGACTGCCATCGCTACGGCGCATAACCATATGACACGTCAATATGTCGTGGTCGGCGTAGTTGCCGTCTACTGTAGTGGCGGTTGCACCGGGAACAATTTCCACACTATTGCAGCGNTAATTCATTGTGCAATGGACGACTGCCATCGCTACGGCGCATAACCATATGACACGTCAATATGTCGTGGTCGGCGTTGTTGCCATCTACTGTAGTGGCGGTTGCACCGGGAACAATTTCCACACTATTGCAGCGGTAAGGAGAACAGCGGATGCGCGTTGAGCCAGCAGCTGAAGCACTTCGAAAGAGATTCGTTGCACCTTTGACGCTGCGCTTTGCGTTGCCAGTGACTGGCACTTCGTCGGCCACACGGTCGCTATTTTCCGGGCACGGTTTCTTCAATGTATTGCAGCTATTAACGCTACCGACCTGCTCCAACTTCTGTTTAGTGCGCTTTACCGTGCCCACATGCTGGTGCTGCTGGTAATGTGGCGACCCAGAAAGGCCCTGACAGATTGGTGTGACAGTCTTGTTGCTCTTATTGATGTTGAGTTCGTGTATTTGACCTTCGAGTATGGCTCCGCCGCCGTACTGGCACGAATTGCGGTTGGAGTCGTACGCAGCCCAGGAACTATTTCGTACTGGGGCAGCACAGCGCGTGTCTCCCGAACCCCATGAAGCATGTCGTGAGGGCAAATCCCGGTGCCGGTGTGTTCGTGTGACCACACGCTCCTCAAATGCGGTTGTCGTCGGACATCCCGCACTCGATGAGATCGAATCAATACTGCTATTTGAGCTCAATTTGCTGGTACCGCTACTGCTGGCACTTGTACCCACGCCCAGCACATTGAGACGATCTAAAACTATACCACCACTCCTGCTGGTACCACTCAAGTCGCTTGTGCCGCTAGCGGCAGTCCATGAATGAGTTTTGCGACTGTGACGTCTTGAGTTAGCGCATTGATGCTCTTCCTTAAGCTCAGCCGATGTCTCCATTTGTCCGATGCTAGTATCGCTGGCGAAACTTTCGTTGGAAACCCCTTCACCGCCACCACCGTCGACTGTCATTAAATTTTTCAAATTAGAAGTCTGAGTGATTAGTTTTGCGGATGATGTCCATACTGGACTATGTTCACTCTGTAATGTGCCATCGCCGGCATAACAAGGCAACGTATCCACACGCGTAGCCATTGAGCCAGTATCGTGCGATACCGAGCGACCAAACTGCAAGTTAAGCGACCGGCGATCATCAGCCGTCTTGCGTGTGCTGTGTGTTTCCAGATTCTGCACACGTGTTCGCACGGATGCTATCTGCTGTTTTTGCTTTCTTTGCTGTAGCTTTTGTTGTGCAGTAGAAGATGGTGGAGGCGGCGGTGGGGGTGGTGGCGGCTGTACGTTTTTCTGTATGTGTCGCACTTGGTTTTGAGTGACACTGTAGTTCTCACCATTGCTTCCGGGAAATCGCATATTCTTGGGCTCCTCTGCAACACTCTTTTCAGGAGTTAGGTTTTCCAGCGATTGGCTTTGCTGTTTTATTACGACTGTCATATGTGGCACGTGGGGCACCGCCTGCGGTGATGTGCTACTGGACCGACGCACCAAGCGACGTTGCTTGGCTTCATTCGTGCCGCCACCGTCATTGCCAATTGGGGTTTTAGACCGTCCGACGCCTTTAGTACTTATAATGCTTCTGTCGGCACTTTCCACTGCGCTATCCCCACAGCTCACATCTTCCTGTCCTCCGGTTGATTTTGATTTGGACTGGTTGAGCGCCTGTATGAGTGGCGTAGGCTCACTGCCTGGCAGCAGGCGCGCGTCCTTTGTGCTCTTCAAATTCGTTTCGCTTTTACTGCGCTGCAGTTTCTCCTTATTCTTCATTGCATCCAACATGCCACGGTAAGTCTCCAGCTGATTAAGGAAATTCTTATTAGGCTTTATGCAGTTTCGGCGTTCCTTAACGTGTTGAAGTGCATGTTTGAATTCCCAATTGTATGCCTTCATAGCATAGGCGATTACAACCGACGCTGATCGGCTGACACCCATTTTACAGTGAACGAGTACTTTGGAGCCCTCCGATTTGGCACGTGTTATGTAACGAAATGTGTTGTCCCAGTGCTTTAACAGATTCGTCTTTTCATCATCATAAACTCGCACATTGAAATAATCAAAGACGCCAGGAAAAAAATTATCGATCTCTCGTGTTACATTAAGAATATGGCGTATTCTAAAATAAAATTATAGTAAGTTACATATATGCATTAGGAGACATGAAAAATTTACCCATTCTTTTGCAGCTCTTCCAAATTACTGGCATTCCATTCCGAACCAAGATAAACGTGATCGAATATCTCTGTTGGGGCATCCATTTGACCTAGTATTGTTAACATTTCCTCATCGATAAACGATTTAAACTCGCCTAAATCCATATCCAGAAGTTCTTCAAGTCGACCACGTATGTATTTGGAAGTCACTTCATCTAAATCTACCGACATCATTATTTCCTTTAGCTTCATTTTGATTGTGCTTTCCGTTTCCTCCTTCGCAGTTGGTCTGTATTAAAATGAAAATTAACACTGAAATTATGTAAAGTTGCATAAGATTAATTTTCATTTATTTACTTGTTTCTTATGGCATCTGGCGATGGAGGGCGTCGGCTTTCTAGTGAATCCATTGCATTCCATTCATTTAGGCAAGATTGTTCTGACTCAATGTGACTATCATAGTAAGAAGTCCAATCGTGCGATGGACCACGTGGATAAAAATTATTCTCACGAGCCTTTTGCGATACTTTATGTAAAGTTTGTAATGCAGACCTAAAACCGATAATTGGTATTATTGTGGTTGATTTGCCATCGGAAATTCGAACTTACCACATGGCTTGCACGGAAACGGGTTTAAAAATGTGTGTTTTACCGTATACTGAAACGCTAAAGCCACTGTTGAGGTAAAGTAAATAGTCAATTAATAATAAGTGAAGTTCACAGTTGGGCTAATTTAATTTACCCATCGCCATCAAGATGTATTGTCGTATCGGCAAGTATTGGCAAAACCAGGCCAATTGTGGTGCGTTCATTGCAATCGATACCCAAAAGACAGGATTCTTCGACACCATCCTCACATGCCTTGCTATCGCCCGATGCGTTCATTTTATCAGAGTCGCTTTTGATGCTTTGGTGTTGAGATGCTTTCGCCGGCAAAGATACGCTCGACAGGCGCTTCTCATGTGCATCTGTTGATTCCTCACCACCGCTACTTGATTCAGTTTGTGACTGTTGTTGTGGTGTCGTTCGCTGTATGCTATCTGTTGATGATTGACGCATTGTAACAGTGGTTGCTGATGTTATTACATTGCTTGCTTTAGTCGAATTATGCCGCATTATTTTATTCTTTCGATCGGTGGTTGTGGGGCGGTAACAACAACGTGATACAATCACTAGATACCTTGTGCGATTCGGTCGTTGGGACTCCAATTTAACTGCCTAATGGTAAATGCATGTTCAATTTTTTACTTAAAATTTTAGCGTTTTTTTTTTTTAATTACCATCTTCAAGGTTTCCTCAGGATAAAGTAGATCAATCATTGATTGTAAATGTTGCTGTATATCAGAATTATTACTTTGTGTGCTATTCGTTGATTTTGCCGAATCTGTACTGGGCCGACGTTCGCTGGTTTTAGCTGGAATATCCTTGAAGGTAAGACCCATTGCAGTGGCTTTTCCTGCAAAAAAACATTCGCTGTGAAGAGAAAAAGTTTGAAATTAATAAAAAGGCCACAAAAAGACATAGGTCAAGTGTTACCTCTTCTCTGGCCGGTTGCCATCATCATCATCTGCCTCGCCCTCCTGTGGAAAATAATATTTTTTGTATTATTATTCATATTATGTACATGGTTGTTCAGATTTTAACTCGTATTATGCAAGTATAAAATATGTAAAAGTTTTTAAAGAAAAATGTATATAAACTTCTTTGGGCTCAGATTAAAAAAAGTTAACCTACTAGTGGCCAGTGGACGAATTAGTTTTAATTCCGTTCCAGCAGCCGGAATCCTACATTCTCCGTAGCTAATTTTGATCGCCAAAAACCTGCATGCAACAACATGCAACATGCGGTTAAAAGCTACTCATACTGCCACATTGCAAATGTTACTTTTCCATGATTTATACCTTAAGGCCCCCTGATGTTTATTTAGAGAATTTTGGCGACGAGTTTTTAGCATAATGCTACTTCACTGAAATGAGCTAGTCGCAGAGTCAACTCATTTGTTGAGTTACCTACCCAAACTATCACTACTGCGCCTAATATTACGTAGCAAACATTAGATTTTAAGTGCTATATTGATGGTTCGGTACGGTTCAAAATAAAAATCCACTTGAGCATTTTTCAATTTTTGATTAGCCCTGCTACTGTTTGATGTGAACTCTGTGAGTTGGTCAGCGAAGTTAAGAACCTATCGAAAATGAGATTTTCAAGCCTAAGGCAAGATTATGACACAAAATCTAAACCATATATTTCCTACGAAATTTTTTGCGCGGAATCCAGCACTACTCCAGCATGCAAGGTTTAATAATCTTTTTAATTTGTTAACCCACTTCCCAAAAACGAGAAGGTTATCAATTCGTCGGAATATTTTTATATAATTCTTGTTTCAAAGGAAAGGTTTTACCTCAAAGGTGGTCCCATACTTATAAGGTTTTAATTCCGATCATTGAAATAATCTTAAATTTTTATTGGAAAATTGAAGTCGGTTGTAGTTTTTGCTGAAAAATTACTTGTTTAATTTTGGTTATTCGTCGCTAAGATATAAAAATTTAAACTATCTCATTATCTATCTATCTTATCTATTATCTATAATATTACGTTCGCCGTTTTGTAAATAGTAATCATATTTTCATACAAATTTTCCCTGAGAGATATAAAGCAAACATTTTGTTTCAATTGTCTAAATAAATAAATTTTTCAATAAACGAATTATTGATGCAATTCGATTCTTATAANGCGCGCGGAATCCAGCACTACTCCAGCATGCAAGGTTTAATAATCTTTCTAATTTGTTAACCCACTTCCCAAATCGAGAAGGTTATCAATTCGTCGGAATATTTTTCTATAATTCTTGTTTCAAAGGAAAGGTTTTACCTCAAAGGTGGTCCCATACTTATAAGGTTTTAATTCCGATCATTGAAATAATCTTAAATTTTTATTGGAAAATTGAAGTCGGTTGTAGTTTTTGCTGAAAAATTACTTGTTTAATTTTGGTTATTCGTCGCTAAGATATAAAAATTTAAACTATCTCATTATCTATCTATCTTGTCTATTATCTATAATATTACGTTCGCCGTTTTGTAAATAGTAATCATATTTTCATACAAATTTTCCCTGAGAGATATAAAGCAAACATTTTGTTTCAATTGTCTAAATAAATAAATTTTTCAATAAACGAATTATTGATGCAATTCGATTCTTATAAAAGAGATCTATTGAACTGCATGAAATTTGCTGACTTATTCCATTTGGTAATTAACTGATTCAAATACATATGAGAAAGGTGATTTAGGCCATTTAAAATCAAAAAGTCAAGCAGTATGTTGAGTTCTATGAGAAATATTACCATTTGTGCCCACTGGAATAATTGGAACGCCCGGACAACTTTGACCTCTTTTTGACAACTATGCACCTACTGTCCACACAGAGGAAGATAAAATTGCTGGGGTGGCAAGGGCTATTTATCGTTCTAACAAAGAACCATAAATAATTTTTTAGAATCTTTAATAGATGAGCTGATTTTATGTGGATCGTCAGCCACAATGACATAAGTTTTAAGAACGTCTGAACGAAAACTTATAGACAACCGAAACAAGTTAGATCATTTTTATGGAAAACAATTGCATTTGAGTACTATGAATGACAATGATAGCTATTCAAGCTATTCATGACGAAAGGGGCTTTTTGATCTAAGGCTTTCTATTTAATTATATGAGGCCACAAGAGCAGAAGTGGCCTAACCCACATTTTTTTCTTGTACTTAACTTCTTAAAATATATTTAAATGTAATACATATTAAAGTAAAGGTCGATTATTACTTTGATGATACGTTATATATGTAGCTCTGAACCATAAAATTAAAGAATAAACGACTTTCATTTTAAAGTTTATCTCATTTGGGACGATTTTAAGTAGGAAAGCACACAAAAAAAATGTCGGGTTAGGTCACTTCTGCTCTCATGGCCTCATATATCTAGAGGGATTTAGTCTATAGGTAAACTGAAAATTTATTACCAAGAGCACCATGTACACTTTAAAAGAACTCCTCCAAAAGGCCTTTTGAATTAAGTCCTATAAAAGCCCTTCTGGAAGGCCTTTTATGGGAAGCGAAAGAAGAAGGCTTTCAAATTGCACCACTCCATACAAAAAAAAAGAAGGAATGTAGAGTGGAAGGCCTCTTGGTTGGGATAACAATCGGTGATTCCATAACAACCAAATAATAGCAGCCAAACAAGGGCGCTTATTTTAAATATAAAAAAAAAAATAACCCAATACATATGTACGCTAGATACCCTCCCTGCAAACCAAAGTTCCCGAAATCTTAACGAAATCTTTAGGAGTATCTGATTTCTGTAACGATTTTTTTCCGAATCTTCAAAGAAAATTATATGAAGTGGTTGACACGAACTCGTAAAGAAATTTCGGTACGAAAAATAAAGAAAATTCTGAAAAAAGTCTGCAAGAAATTCTTCACATAGCAGCATTATTTTCATTTCTTCACCGATTTTCTTCCGAAATTTCGTAAAAGAATGGAAGTGTGCGTAATTTATTTCATTTTAGAAAATTCGGAAAAAAATCGGATGGGATCTTTCCGAATTCGTTAAAATTTCTTTACGATTCAGAATACTCTGAAAAAATGGTTTGCAGGGCTAATACATAAATATGTATGTGTAAAAATTGGAATGCTCTAACACAAAATACATATGTGCATGCATTGCATTTCAATAACATAAAAAATAAATAGTTCATTCATGGAAATCATCAAAATATTTACGGCAATGATATTCACATGCATATGCTCATACATACATATGTACATGCAAATGCTGCAAATGCAATATGTACATGCATTTTCATGTTTAAGTACTATGCTAGTTATGATATGCAAAATACATACATACATATGTATATATGTACATATGTGTTTATGGACGTCTGCATCTTTTAGAACAAGGTCAAGAAAATTGTGTAGAAAATTTATATTTATGATACAAACCAACAGGCTGACTAATCAATATCCCATCTTCCGGAAGAGGTAACGTCAAAATCAGCTTAATTGATAAACTAAATATAAAAAACTAAAAATAAAAATTGGTTGGAAAAAGAGCTTTTCCTACACAACGCCCTACACTACACCTAGTCCATTCAATATCAAAAATCATTAAAAACATATACATACATACATACTTAGCTGTCGATCCACGGGATTATCTACTACACTATAGTATTGCTTTGTTTAAAACAAATTGAAACAAATGTAACGAAATAAAAGCAAAACAAAACAAAAATAAAGTACATACATATGTACATACTTATCATCACAAAGCAGAGCCACTAATGTTTGGATGGACGATCACGACGTTGAAATCGACGTAAGCGACTACAGCGGTGGCAGCAAATGAAAGAAGTGAATAATTTGGTATTTGCGCAACGCACTTTTCCTTTTTTGCACATTTCAATATGACTGCGGCGACGATGATACCTCAAAGGGGAATATGTGTAAGAAAAGAAACAACAGCAAACAACTAATACATAGTGATCACAGTTCATATTAAAAGAGAGCTATATATGAACAAGTATCTTCACCACCAGAAAGCACTAAGAAGTTTCTTTTTTATGATTCCATAGTTATTATGCTTCCATAGTTACTTCGTATTATTGTTTTCACAAATGCCATTACCATAGAAAATTTATTACTGAGGTAGAGTTCTCGTAACTTATAGTTGCACAAACTATTCAGCCCTCATGCTATTACGTCTCCGCCCCTTTATTCTGGCGCTAGTGAATCAAATTTTTACTTCCACTTCACATATTGCAATAAAATTACTTCACTAGAACGGGATATTTGTAGCTTTAAAAAATATGAGCCTACTAAATACACCAATTTCCACAAAAAGAATGGGAAATGAAAAATCTACTAATAGTCGCTCCCTTTTTGGGACACACAAACTCACCGAGCCACATTGTGGCGGCGAACCAGTAACACTCGGCGAACGCTGCACGGTCACCAAAGCCATGCTCATTTGGCGGAGTTTCCTATCTTTTTCGCCAACTAAACTTTTCATAAATTCATTTTTAGATATTTAAATTCACTATTTCCTTTTGCACAACGCAAGACAATTGCAATAATTACGGCTGACTCCAAATATACAAAAAACTTAGCTGTCACCTCATCTGTCACTAGAGGTGAGAGCTTTGCAGGTTGGCAGTACTTGTCCCTGACATCGATGAGTACAAAACTATCGTGTTAGGAGTATGACTTCGATAAACTGGTTTTAGAATTGGGTTTTTTTTTAGCAGAAAAAGAATAAAGCGAAGCGCACATTGGCGCGATTCTGTCGTTGCGAATCCGCAAGCCCAAAAATTACAACAATGCTACCCATACATTTTAATGCGCTAGCGCACACTTGCACGATTCCGTCGCTGCGAATTTTTCGAACATTCAATGTTCCTCTCTATTGACGCGTTCGAAACGCGGCTTGCAGCGTTTTGAAGGCGTCAAAGAAGAAGAAGAAAGGTGTCACAGCAATAAAGGCAAAGAAAAAAAAACGTGTAATGTACAAAAACTAATAAAAACGTTCGTAATAATAGTATTTTGTACGATTTGGGCACGCCGAGTGCGAAAATACACGAAATAAAGGGAAAATTGAGTGAATTGTACATCGGAAATCGACGCGAAAAAATCGCTCAAGTGTGCGCACGTTTGCGGATTCGAAGTTAACAGCCGAATTCGCAACGTATTCGCAACGATGGAATCGCGCTAATGTGCGCTTCGCTTAAATTGTGATATTGCCTGATGAACTTAAAGCGCCATGGAGACAATCACATAAATACCTCAAGCATTGCGTATCATTTATTGGATAATTTCATATGTTATTTGTTATAAATTAATAATATGTATTACATTTCATAAAGCTAGCAAAAATTGATAATGATCAATCAAACGTGAATCAATTTATTGTTCTTGTCCACGAACTTGCTCACCACGACGAAAAAGCACGTGAGCTTGTTGTTTGTCAAGCATTACGCGAGACGATCAAATAAGCAGTCATCAAATTCAAATATCAAACTTTTTTGATTTTCATCAAGCATAGCCGGCAATGAGCCGCTGTAGTGTTCGAGTAGCCGACAAAAGCCGACGACACCAATACACTTAAAGCATTGATAAAGATATTTGAACGTCTCCGTGGCACTTAATGGTTAAATATTTATGTTCTTGCTGTTGTTGCTTAAGACGAGTTTTTTTTTTTATTTAATTGCAATAATATAGCAACCCATATACATACATAGCAACCATCGTACAGTTTCATAGGGCTTTCGCACGAGGCGATTTTTCAGGCAACTTTTAGTTGAAAGCAAAAATCGCCTCGTCCGAACGGCCTTTCAACTAATCGCTTTCAACAAAGTTGGTAGCCAGCCAACTTTGAGCTCGTTCAACTTTTTTTCCATGCAACCCGGTGCTTGTTTACATTCGGAATTCATACTTTTTTTACTTTTTTTATCTTTCAGCTTCGCTAAAAGCACTTCTACCAACGCTTGGCTTACCATATTTACGTCAATTGATAAAATTTTGCGATTTATATTCATTTTCAATAATGTAAAAAGCAATTCGTGTTGAATCGAAAATCGCCTCGTCTGAATAGGGACTGCAACGTTTAACTTCTCATTCAACTTATGTTGCCTGTAAATCGCGACGTGCGAATGCCCTATTATGGAACTATACGATGATAGCAACCCTTCATAGCTCTTTCATCAAGGCATTTTGCACCAGAAGATGTCGCCTGAGATCTCTTCATTTATCTTTTGAGTAACTTTCGTAAATATTTGCAAGAGTGATGCAATTAATTTGCTTATTCGAGCATAATATATGCATTAATTAGATTTTATTAGATTGAAATTAAGTGTTGGTATTGTTGATTGATTGGAACTTTTAGTTTCTTTGAAGGCAACACACATTACTGTCATTAGTGTCATTCCACATATATTCTATTTGTTTATAGGTATCTCGAAGGTCAAATTGCCGTGCTCGTCAAATAAAAATTCATTTTTTTTTTCTTTTTAGCAAAATCATCATTATATAAATAATATTATCAGGATGTCAGTACTAATAGAAGACGAACAAATGAATAATAAACGTCTGTTGCCACGGATAGCGCTGATCGCATGCGGCTCTTTCAGTCCACCGACCCCAATGCATTTTCGGATGTTCGGTAATGAAGACGAATTGCGAAATTCAAAAGTTTTCAATGCAGTAAAATCATAATTCATACATATACATACATATATCATTTTTCACATTTCAGAAATCGCACGAGATTATTTTACAAGTCAAGGGTCCCACCATGTTGTTGGTGGTATCGTATCACCCACACATGATTCATATCAGAAAAAAGGACTCGTTGGAGGAACATATCGATTTGCTATGCTGAAATTAGCTTTACAATCATCCACTTGGATTAGGGTAAAACAAATAATTTTACCAATGATATGTCAACAGACTGCACATTTACATATGTATATGGAATATTACTTTTTAAAGGCTTCTGACTGGGAAATACAGCAACCGGAATGGTCTCGTACGCTTTCCGTTTTGCAGTATCATCAAAATTATATGAATAATTATGTCAACTCGCCGATAGAAAATGAAATAAATGGCACGATACCGGGTTGGTTGCCGCCGGGATTACGTGAGCGTCAGGATGCGGTGCAATTGAAACTGTTATGTGGAGCAGACTTGCTGGAATCGTTTGCAGTGCCCGGACTGTGGGCTGATAAGATGTATGTAGAAGATATTAAATCGTATAAACTACTTATTATACATGTTTGTTATCATATTGGCAAACCACATGTATACTTATATATAGATTGAAGATATTGTGGGTAATCACGGTCTGGTGGTGATAACACGATATGGCTCTAGCCCTGAAAAATTTATTTTCGAGTCAGATTTGTTGACTAAATATCAGGTGAGTTGTTTAAAAAATCGTGCATATGTATACGTATTTATACTTTTTCTTACTATTTGTTATCACTTCTCAAAGAAAAATATTACATTAATAACAAATTGGGTGCCGAACGAAGTAAGTTCAACCATGATACGCCGGCTTATTTCACGTGGACAGTCAGTTAAATATTTGCTTGATGATCGGGTTATCGATTATATTCAAATGCAAGGACTTTTCAACTGTAAAACGTAAGTGATTTTTATTTAAAGCAATAATTGCTTGCTTTTATGGCTTAAGTGATTACGGCAAATGCACATATTTTATGTACATGTATGCATACATATACAGTGGCAGTCAAAAGTGAAAGAACGGAGTTTCGTATTTAATATTTACAATGTTTTTCAAGCTATATTTTTTTAATATTTTTTATAAAAATGCGGTTAATGCTTTAGCAAAACCCATATAAATCACACTCTCAAACTTTACCCAGAATTTAGAAAAATTCCACAAATTTTTATCTAAATTTCAATCTTTTTAATCAGATTTTTTTTTTTGATTTCCGGGTGTGCAGTTAACTGGATTATAAACTTTTAGTAAAATTAGTGTGCGTTATGAACTTGTTGTTGAATTTTTTGTGGAAAAATATGCGCAAGGCCTTTTGCGAAAAAAACAAANTTCATATAAACATGAATTTTTTGTGGAAAAATATGCGCAAGGCCTTTTGCGAAAAAAACAAAAAAAGGCAACGCCAGTGTTCCTAAATTTCGCTTTTTATATGAAAAAACCAAAAAATACGTCAGCAAAAAAAAAAAAAATTATTAAAATTAATGCGATTTTTCAGCCGCACAAACCTTGCACTAATTTTACTAAAATTTTATAATCCTCTTAACTGCATACCCAAAAAAAAATGTAAAAAAAAGTGTAATTTATTTGGTTTTTGCTAAAGCATGAACCATATTTTTATAAAAATATCAAAAAAATTATAGCTTGAAAAACATTGTCAATATTAATACGAAACACCATTCATACACTTTTGACCGCCACTGTATACTATTATACAATATTACAAAATAGACGCACGGCAGCCGCCGTAGCCGAGTGCGCTTGTGCATGGCATATGTATTAGTTGACCGAACGAGCTAAGTTTAATTCAAGCGGACGTCGAATTTCAAAATAGTATAATTTTTTAAAAATAAATTTGTCTTCACCTTGTAAACCTAGGTGACATGTGATTACTTAGAGCAAGATTACCAAAAAGAGCAGTCTCGTGGTAGTAGAATCTTAAATCTCCGAGAAAATTACGAAATTCTAAATTTCGTTTTTGAGTTCTTTGTAAATTTTAGAAGTTTGTGAAGTCGGATAAGAGCTCTCTCTATTTCTATTGATTATGAATTCGAAGTAACTTAAAATCTGCAATCGAATGCTTGGCAGATCAAATTTTGACTTCACGGACAAACAAGTATATAAGAATCGTCTTTAGTTCTTTGAAAAAAATGGAGTAAAAACTTTATTTGGCTACACTATTTTATCAATTAGTTACGATAAATTATAATAATTTCAAGCTACCTAGTAGATCTTTCTGCATGAAGCTCTCAGATATGTACAGTGATTTTGGCATGTATTCCTCATACGGAAAAACAAGAAAAGTTTCGATAAAAAAACTTGTACTAAATATTTTGAAGTTATCTTAATTTTCATAAAAAATGCTTGTTAACGGTTTTGGTAGAAAAAATAATTTAAAATACATCATTCATATTTTGAGTCAGTTCAAAACGGAATAAAGCACTGATTACAAATCGTTTTATTTGATTACTTTTTTTTGCGCCAACTGAGCTCTAGGTGACCTAGCGCATCCGTAAATAGTGCTCACCCAAATATCACAACTCTGCCTTATAAAAACAAGATATGTAAACGAAATTGCATGCGGATAAAATCCGCAGAATCAACACCGCAACAAGTCAAAATTGAATGGAAACTAATAAT